AAGGAGAATCATAGCTCCACAGATCAGCCAGAGGGAAGGTTCTCTAAGAGTAACAAATCTTTTCTGTTGCAACATGCTTTTTCTAGAAGCTTTTTGTCATTCTGGCAGTAAACTGTTTTCCATTCGCTGCCTTAGCAACAAGACCTGAATTCACTTCCCTTCCAGTGTGGTTTGATTATAAGAGCACTAACATTGTACCTGGAACTAGAAGAAAAATTTCATACTAGGGAAACACACAGATATTACCTGCTTTTAGGTTAGAGAATTATTTATATACATTCTTACTATGTCCTTGAGAGGAAAAGTCCAATAGGAAATCATAGAAATGATGAATCCAAATCCCACACGGTCCCAAGTCCCTCGTAAATGCTATAGTTCAAGTTTTTGTTCCGTCACTGCATCTGTCCACAGCTAAGAACAGGTTTTTTCCCTACAGTTCTCTGCGGCCATCTCAGAGAGTGCGCCAAAATGTTAGGCATCCCTTCTTGTGCAAGAGTCTTAGGCTAATGCTAGTTTTTTCAAGAGTCTTTGTTTAACCCAAGAATATGAAGTCCACTTTGAGAATAAAACTTTGTTTACTAAAGAATAGAATTCTGATGGGTTGTGGCTTTATTTGATCCCATGAGAGCTCATTTAAATATTTCTTATGGAATTCAATTTTATCTTGTAGTAGAAACTGCTGCAAATAGGCTTGTACTCCACCAGAATCAAAGACTAAAGAATAAATATCAAGGGTTTGAAGTAGGAATGTACAAGTTGCTGTTTATTTCTGTTTTCTTTAGGATGTTAAAGATGTAATGTTTATGACTTAGAAATTAAATCTGGTAGCATCCTGATAAGAAAAGATGGAATATAGGTTAAAAATATGAATTTGTACCTTCCCAGAGCAAGCAGGAGAGGCAGTGAAACCTCCAAAGCAAAATTCCTGTAGGTCTCAGTATTATGATATCTACTGTTAGGAAATCCTATTTTCCTTAAACTTTTAGGGTTTGCACAAAAAGGAAATTCTTCTGTGGGTGTGGGTTGCTGGACCAAATATGGGCAGAGGATTCTTGCCTTGCCTTCTCGTGCATAGCTGAGTCAGGTCAAGGGTATTATAAATAGGCTTTTCTAAAGATTAGGGACTTGAAGTGGGAAATACTGTAGAGCCAGGTCATCTTCTTACTGTGGCCCTCAGTGCCTTCGCTCTCATGCCCCACGAGCAAGGCCGAGGCCCTGTGTTCTTGAAGTCTGCCCCTGGGCCTGCCTCCTTACAGACTACCATTTTAGCATCCACAGTTAAGCATTCTTACCCAGACAACCAGTTTTCTCAAAGTTCACACAAAGACCTTCTGTACCCAATGATCTACTCTTTAAATTTCTATTTAAAGATATCCCACTCTGCCAAGCCCTGCATTAGACATGTTACATGCTTACCTCATTTAAATGTCCTAAAAGGTCTCTGTTACCAACCTCTCTTTATAGAGAAAGAAACGAAAGCTTAAAAAGGTTAAAAGCATCCCCCCCCCCCCCCCCAAGTGACAGCAAATTAAATGATGGGGCTGGGCTACAAACCTGGCTCTGTTAGACTCTAAAGCACATTCTTCAAACCTCCATGGTGCCTTTCAATTTTAGAGTGCCTTTAGATTTCATTTGATTAAAAAAAGACAGGACCTGTTTTCACTCACACTATCATAGCTCCTAGAAACTTCTGCATTGAAACATCTTTTTCCGAACCATGTTCAGGATCCACTCTTTGTCAGTAACAAGAAGACACTAACATAGGGAAGGGAGGAAAATTTTGGAAACAGACTGTCACACCAGGGCTCATGTGGACAGCACTCATCCTCACAAGAAATGGCCAGTCTGTTGCATATCTGCCTGCCTTAGTTAGCACTGTTGAAGGTTTAATTATCTTTCAACTGCCTGATCTGCTTTGAGGACCTCGGAGAGAACAAAGGGTGGCTGTTACATTTTTCAGCAGTGCTTTCTCTGAACACAGATGAAGTCACGAGCTCTGATTATCAGGTTAAATCAGAGTCTGACTGTGCATTGGTGAGATGGTGTTGAAAGGAAAAAAAATTAATCTTAAACGTTGCCTCCTATTCAAAAATTTGTGACAGAAAAAAATATGGTGGTTACTTCTCTGGTTTAGATGTTATGACCCAGAGCAAGTTTTGCTTTGTTTTTCAAGAAAAGCAAAATGGTGAGAAAGGACTCTTTTCCATCCCCATCCGTTGGCTTTTCAATATCTCAGGTAATAATAACTTCCCTTCTGCCTGGGGAGGTTCCATTGTGCGCCCCATTGTGCTATCCCCTCCCCCCACCCCCCACCCCAGAGACACTCATGGGTCAGGGCCCCCTCCACTTGAGCTGCACAGAGGACCTCGAAGTTCGCAATGTAGAGCTCCAGGCCACCTTGCCGTTGCGAAGTTGGGGGATGAGTTGAAGCCTATTTGCTAGTTCTAGTTGAGATTTTCAGTAAAGGACAGAGTCCTATGCCAGCAGCTCTTTGCTGGAGAAAAGGAGCATGGTTTCTTAACTTTGTTACCATTTTTAAAAATGAGTGTTTGAATAGGGACTTTGTGCTGTTTTTGTAAATTACGCTGTAATTTTTGCAGACTTATAACGTATTATAGAAGTAGAATAATTAAACTTGTTATGAGCATTACTTAGAAACGGCTAATCGAGAAGTGTAATATACAGTGGTGAATTGCTAATTTGACCTCAGGATTATGCAGCAGAGATAACATTATCTTCATTTATATAGAACTGTTTATCTGGAGGCATCTCTCGTGCTTTTCCAGCCATAAGTATTATCTTGTTTGTTATCACAAACACTATCATTAAGGCTGTGAAATTTATTCCAATACAATTTTTATTTTCAGTTTCTTCTAATTAGGAAACTAGGGAAAGGAAGGTTGCATATTTTCTCCAATTCCTGACATTTGCACCAGGGTAAATTTTGGGAAACGACTATTACCTAAACTTGGAGAACTTGATGCTATATCATGTTTTAAAAAGAGGGAAAAGGAGGGGAACATACTGCATCCCCTAGTCACTGGGACCGTTAACCTTGAGAACTGCCGAGGGGAAAGGCCCTGTTGGTTGCTGTCTGGCTCCTCTGCCTTGCGCAGTATTGGGAGAGCTGTCTCCCCTCTGGTGGAGGCCTGACCTCGGGAGCAGGAGAGTGGTCTGATCAAATTGCACCAAACCACATCCATCCATCCCCTCCAAGCTGCAGACTGCAGCACTCAGGCTATCACGACCATGAGCAGCTGCAAATGCTATGCTGGTTGTGTTTCTGTGGTTTTAAGGAAATGGACAAAATTAGATTCAGACCAAGGTGCCAGCCTTAACACACCCCTTCCCTTCCAGAAAGCCCAGTGTCACCGTTAGCAGTAAAGAACAACGCAGTCTGTTCTACCCACACCATCTAGACTTTCTTTTAAAGGAACCCACCCAAACCCAGGAAATTCAGCACCTTCTATCTATCTTGACGGCTGAAGAAAACAGATCAGGGCCAGCCTCCTGCTTCACCAGAGGGCTCTGGTGATGGACCAGTTGCCCTGGCGCTCCACACGGGAAGCACAGTGTCTCCCGCTATGGCTGTGGGATGCTGAAAGGCCAGTCCAGGAGATGGCATTTATATTGGTTATGAAGATGAGTGATCAGCTCGTGTCAAGGAACAGATGGCTAAATGAGGTGCATGGGGAATGCTGTGAGATTCAGGCTTGAAGAAACAGGAGGGAAAATAGCCATGATATAAAACCCCCAAATCTAGTCTCCTTAATGAGAATTTTTAAAATTGGCATTTATGTTATACAGTTAACATAGAGTGATGAGAAATGTAAGGAAATTACCGAATTAGTGAACAGCGATTAACTCAGAAGTAAAATTGTATCATCTAAGTTGAAGGTTGCTTTACACAGTGGAGAGAGGATATTGCTGAACCCTGGCCTGGTCTGTCATCTCCTAATTGAAATCTGTGCGTTTAATATGCCCTGTCCTACAGAGTGCATGGTTCATAATTTGGGAGAGCATCATCAGTTGATCTAGTTATTTTTCCTGGTTCTTCCTTTGAATTCCAGTAAGAATGTGGTACATTCCCCATGTGGCACTCAGAAGAACGAGTTTGTCTGTTCATTAACCTGTGAACTGTCAGGTCCCTTTGGAGATTGAAAGGAGCAAGTCACTCCAAGGTTAATGCTTATTTGTTGGAGGTGAAGCCTCCAGGGAGATACAGAGGGGGAACAGGCCAAGATGCTCAAGACCTGCCCTGTGAAACTCTGCACTGTATGCAGATCTCAGATCCGGGTGGTCCAGAGGGAGGTTCAGAGCAGACTGGATCACCTCTACATATCACTTCCTCTGGCCAGCAGAAGGCTTCCCAGTAGTAAAGGCAGGGTGTGTAGGGGACGAGGGAAGGGGGGAGGGGAGAGGAAGAGGGGGATAACTTCCTAACAACGATTTGGGAGTAGTATTAAAATACAAGAAACTGTGAGTGTTTTCTAGTGGTTTTGTGGATGTTTCTTTTAAGCAAGAAAGCAATATTGATTTCATGTATTGTCTCCAATGGATGAAAACTTTTATTGAATTGAAAAGTGTTTGATTTTCTATGTGTTTGTGCACCTGTGTACAGGCACATTCCTAACCACAGGCAAAGATAGAAGCGGTTTGTTATTCTCTAGTGTAAATGTCTCATGGATGCATAGTTGTGCTGAGGTTCAGGATTTGAGCTGAACAGTACATGGTTTGATTTTCTAGGTAAATAATATCTTAAGTCCTATTTAATTCTCTGGAAAGTGCTATCTTCCTAATTTTGATGTAATTTTCCTAAGGCTCATTTGGAGCTAGCCCTAAGGAGCAGGTACAGGGTCTGAAGTCAAGTTCAAAGTCTCCTTTAGTCCAGGCCCTGGTACACTGTATGTTTATATAATATACCTTACTCTGTTATTTTAGGATTGGTTGTGATGGAAGCTCGCTTTCTTCAACAAACATTCTTTTCTTTTTACCCCCAGATATATTCGAATAGTTGGGACTCACAACACAGTGAACAAGATTTTTCACATCGTGGCTTTTGAATGCATGTTTACAAATCAAACCTTCACTCTCGAGAAGGGCCTGATAGGTAAGTGTTACAGCTACATTTTGTACATCTGCTTAGATATTTTATTTTCAAGTATTTTTTTAATTCCCTTGCCTCATCTCTTAACCAGCTTTAACTAATAAATTTAGTTCGTTTGAATAAGACTGAATGACACAGGGGAGGGCTTATCTTTTTAGAAGTCAAAATAATACCAGTAACTTAAAAGAATATCAACATTTTTCTAGTAGTTAATAATTGAAATGTTCTAATGATTTGTTCAGATTTGCTCTGTGGAGAATGCTTATGACAGCTGGGCAAAGCCTTTCATACTGAAGGCTTTTCTGTACTTAATGGTAGTAAGATCAGGGAGGGGGTCTGTATAACAGTGATCCAGTGCTCATACTTTCCAAGGCTATGCATTTAATTTTGGCATTGATTTGGTATGAATGTATGTTCTTTTCAGTCTATATTTGCCCTGTTTAGCTAAGTTCATCTCACGAAAATGTTTTTAAATTCATTATGGATTTGAATAAGACCAGAGTAACTGAATTGTCATTGTGAAAGTCAGGTTACCTTGTGGGAAATATTTCCTGATTGATCTTTCCAAAGGCTATATTTTAAAATTTGGTTATTTGGTTGCTTTCTGTTGTGTTTTGTACTTGTTTTAGGTACTATGTGGTCTGGCATTGTGTACAGTCATTCTAGGTCATGAGTAGCTTTTCCTTTTTGTTCCTTTCCCCCATGCCCACAGGTTTTTACTCTGCTCTCACCAGGATCATGGTTTGACTAATTAGATTCTTAAATCTGTGCCTTGACCGTAGCCTCATGGAACATGCACGCTAGGGGTTCAGTTGGGGAATGAGATGTCCCTGCAAAATAGAAGTTTTTGCCTTCACAAATGACTCATTTCTCCTCCCATTCTAAAGTCCTGTCCATGCTGGGACACAGCATAGTGACAGAGATCCTAAAATCATGGCAGTGACTAGATGGGAAAGACAAGTATAACTTGCAAATGCTTTGTAGTTCTTTTGTCATCAGTCTACATTTTCCTAACGCCTGCTGTCCCCTAAATGTAATCCTTTATCATGGAAATATAGGAGAGTAGTATTAATAAAACAGTAGAACTAGAAATTATTCTGACTCAGAGAACTTTTAGAGCTCTACTAAAATAAATAATTTGGTTTTAAGTTTGTTATGGATATGGGTTTTTTATATAAATATAAATGTTAATAGTTTTTGTAGCTTAAGTAATTTTAAAAGTAACAGTGCTAAAGTCTTCCTAATGTTATCAAGGTTTTTAGTTTTGTAGTGGAATATTGGTGATGGGGCTATAGGGAGGGTTCAGTTCTTCTCCAGGTTCTTTCATAGACTGCAGGACTTATAGTTTGTGGTTATGGCAGTACCCCTTGGGAAGAATCTGAGAAATAAGACCACCTTCATAGTCTTAAGATGTGTAGCATTTGTCTATTCATTTCAACCCAATGCATTGCAGTTTTGAACATATTGCATAGAAGTTGCTACCTATTTTTAAAAGGACCCCATTTTTATTGGAGAAAGAACAGATTTGTGGACACGGTAATTATCGAAGAAACAAGATGATCTAGCATAAGAGGCTGTTACAGGAATTAAACTCAGAATTACTTGTAGTGAGGGGTGCTGTTCTTGGTCTGTGTGGTGTCTACACTGAACTAGTCAGCATAGTCTGAAGCCATGATAGTCTCAGGTGTGTCAGGGTGAGAGAAGACTACAGAGATGCAAGAAGTGTTTTTGGTGTCTGGTCGAACACTTTGCATCATGCCCTTTCTGTGGTGTTCACAAGCCTGCCTATCATCCCTCTTCAGCCAGATAGGAGCAGTGGTGCAGGTGGGCAGGTGTGTGGTGCACATAAGGGCAGGTGATCTGCAGTGAATCCCGTCTGGTCCTCCTCCTGATATCTTTATAGCTCACAGCTGCCCCCATGCTGGGCAAGCGGGGAGGTCTGTGAATCCTGAGGGTGTACCTGTCTGACATGGTAGCTCTGCGTAGTTGAAAGTGGTGTTTGAAATAGTAATTGCCAGCCTTCCATGTGATAATTCAGGTAAATTTTGGCAGCACACAGGTCTCAGCCAGCCACTCTACAGGAGGCTTGAAGAAAGGAGTGACCCTCTAATGGGGACAAAGTGAGTCTCAGAATAGTCTCAGAATTACAGTTCTGATACTACCAGGGACCATACGATTACTAAAATTAGTTTTAAGATTTTTGCAATTATAAGTACTTTTTGGGTGTTTATGGTATATCTAACTAGAGATATATAGTAAAATTACTGTGTTTTCAAGTCACTTAAAATAATTCTCTGTGTGATCGTGACACTATTTCATTATACACTTTGATTCATTTGTTTCATTTCACTTATTTAGTGATTGCCTTCAAAATGCTTTTTGTCTTATAACTATGTAAAATATAGAGGCCCAGTGCGCGAAATTCAACTGGCTGGCGATCAGGGCCAGTCAGGGCCTCTGGCTACCTGCTGGGGCTTTCCTTCCCCTGCTTCCAGCTGCTGGCTGCCAGCCAGAGCCTTCCTTCGTTCCACCCCGTTAATCAGCACACGTCATAGTGAGCAGTTGAACTCCTGGTCTCCCTGTTGAACTCCTGAGGGGAAACTTTGCATATTAGCCTTTTATATAGAGAGATCTACATGATCTCTAAATCAAATTTACAAAAAACAAAAACAAAAAAACAACAACTATGTTAAGAGAAATCAAGCTTATATTTCTGTCCCCTCTACTCCTGTAAGAAATCTCTTTTTTCCCTTTAGGTTTTTGGGTTGTCTTTCTGTTCTTAAAAATGGGAAGTAATATAATTTATATTTTGTATCCTCCCAACATTGGTAGCATACTATATGCTGTGGATACTTTCTTCACCTTGCTTTTTTGTACTTAACACTTATCCTAGTGCTAGTTATATGGGAAGGTATTATTGATTCCTTTTATAGCTGCATGGTATTCATTAGTGTATATATACTGTTTTTTATTCAACCAGTTATATATTGATGAACCATTTGGGTTGTTTTCAGTCTTCTGGTATTAGAAATTGTGCTGTTGCTTTGTGCATAAGACTTTTTATTTTTTTATTTTTTATTTTTTTATAAGTATATTTTATTGATTTTTCACAGAGAGGAAGAGAGAGGGATAGAGAGTTAGAAACGTTGATGAAAGAGAATCATCGATCAGCTGCCTCCTGCACACCCCCTACTGGGGATGTGCCCGCAACCAAGGTACATGCCTCTGACCGGAATCAAACCCGGGATCTTTCAGTCCGCAGGCCAATGCTCCATCCACTGAGCCAAACTGCTGCTGGCAGACTTTTTATTTTTGCTAATCTGTTTTTGTGATCCTGAGAAGAGGGTTACATGATGAAAGGGTAATGCATAGATAATTTTACTAGCTATTTCCAAATTCATCTCCATAATGTTTGCACCATTTTACAATTCTTGTTGACAGTGTATGTGGCACATATTGTCAAACCTCTGGATTTTTTGCCAGTTTGATAGGTGAAAAATGGTATCTCCATGAATTTTTTAACTGCATTTCTCTTATGAGAGAAATTGAGTATCTTTTCATATGTTTAAAGGCCATTTACATTTCTTTTTTCCTTTTAAATAGCTCTTCTAATGACTCTTGTAGATGAATAGAGAATATGCAGTTAGTAAGACTTGGGGGAGCAGTAAGCACTTCACACTGATATTAGACTGTGCTATTTAGCATTACATGGGTCTCATTTCCCTTCTTAGGTGTCCTACTTCCTCTAGAAAATAATCTCTCATAAGTCCCTCTCCGTCCTTATCCTTGGCTCTCCCTCTGCCTGAGAGAAAGCAACTAAAGCTGGAACTCTAGGCTCAAAGTTCAGGGCTGTTTAACCCTTTCATCCAACAAGAAGCCGTTTCCACCACCAGAGTGAGGCCATTAGGTGTTAGCTCTGTGTCTGCCAGAATGCATCCATGAAGACCAACAGCTTTTATGTTCTAGGTTCTTGTTAGTAATCGAGTAGGGCAACAACATGGGCAGCCTAAGCGCTGAAGCTCTGGGAACAGTCACTGCTGCCACCATGGAACTGCGCTGTCTGAACAGGAACCGGAGCCCATATTCATCAGCCACTATGCTACCTGCAGCACACCAGAGCAGACAGAAATGTTTTCTTCCTCCTCCCAGTCTCACACCAGTTTCTTCCATTGGCAGAACTTACTAAAAACCAAGCTGGCAAGCTTGGGAACTTGTTTTCAGAGCTTTAGCCTCCAAGAGCAAGGGAGGGAATGGAGCTGGAAGCCGACAGACAGAGAACTGGTTGTGAAAGGGCTCCAGACATTAGGAGACATGCCATCTGATTCAAAGGAGCGGGAGGAGCACAGTGGCCAGGCATGGAGGAGCACGGTGGAGCTGAGAACAGCAGACACAGGCACAAGCAGAGTACAAAGAAAGGCTAAATATTTAGTTGGGTTGTGAAGGAACCCAACTTCGTGAAGAATGGTAAACAATCCAGAAGAATTGGCCTTGAAGAATTCAGTAAACAATCCAGAGCATTACACGGTGCTAATTTACATAGCAACAAAATGGCACCACTGGGTCCCTTGGGGAAAGCTGAAGGCAGAAAACAAATAGGTGTTCTGTAATTGCTACTGTCATCTAAAAATATTTTAAATTGTTTAGAATTCTGTAAAGTTCCTGGGAAAGTAAGCAGAGTTGGAAATCTTTGCTGTGAAGGGCTTTTGAAATTTGTTGAGTTGGGGATATGACTTTTGTGCTTTGCAGCTGTGTTTAAAACTGCTCCTCTGGAGCAGAAACAAGAGATTTGAGCCTGTGGGAGTTCATCAGAGGTGGAAGGGTTAGAATGTGGCAAAGGCGGGAGCTTACTGGAGTAGCAGAGCAGCCCTGAAGACCTCCTTGCAGGCAGTTTCTTAAAATGGCACTATTGAGGCTGGACTGGTCCAGACGAAGAGGCTGTACTTTCCAACCTGTTTCTCTAACCAGATATTCAGGCTGGTTCTAATTGTCAGTGAAGCTTAACT